GGGGCGGGGGCGGGGGAGGGAAAGAAGTCTGGAATAAAAGCCCTGATGGTGATGGAGGCCTTCCCGGTGATGGAGGCCTTCCCGGTGCTGGGCTCAGGGATTCGCGTGTTCCGTGCGTTATTTTAATGTTTCCCTCCTGGGAGGTACCGTTTCTTACAATTCATCAGCAGATGACAAAGCAACTCCCCAGCCTTGATATATATATATTTTTTAGGTTTTTGCCGCAGGACGTGTGTGCTGCCAGAGAGAGCAATACAGAGGGAAAGTGAAAAATCACCGCGGGTGGCAGTGGGGTGGGAGTGGCCATTCCGTCCCACGTCCCACGAGAGTTTTGACCCACCTGGTCAGGGATTTGAACCGCGCCAATCATGTGGGAATCCAGTCAAGTTAACCACCACCCCTCCTGCTGGTCCCGCACCCCAAGTCTGTTTATAACTTTCCTGGGGATCTCTGCCCAGTGCCCTGGTTGAAGGCACCTTCCTTCCAGGGTATGCGCGTTTGTGGCCATTCCCCTGTCAAGACCAGGTTCCAACCTCCTTTGCTGTCCTCCTGCTGGTACTACATAGTCTGTTCTGTGCCTGGTGCAGAGTGACCAACTCACCTGCCACCCCAGGAGGAGGGATGCCAAGCCCGGGTAGCCCCAGCCTGCTGGGGTGGGCGCCTCTGCTCTGCCCTACCCAGTAGGGAGCAGGGCTCGGGGTCATGGAGGTTCCTGTCACCTGTGTTAATCGGACCCTCTGGGTCTGGCCTTTCATTCCCTGAGAGCATTGTGGTTCTGTCTCATGTCCCCGTCCCCTTGCCCCCCCCAGCTGTGGCGACCACGTGGAGGGAGGCAGAGAGCGCTTTGAACCCTGGTTTTGTCTCTGGTGGCCATCTCTCCCTTTCCTTCCTGCAGTACCTTGTGTTGGGCATGTGGTATTGGCGCAGTCTCAGTCTTCAGTGCCGGAGGTGACAGCAGGGAGCAGCAGGAACGTCCCGATCCCCTGTCCTCTATCTCTGTAGAACTCACGCTCTAGAGGAGGCAGGTGTCCCTCAGAGGCTCACACGGAAGACTAGAGTTCCCAAATCTGCTGAGGACTGGGAGGAAGAGAACTTGTGCAGCGAGGGCCAGTGGGGTCTGTTGGAGGGTCTGAGACGGCTCTCTTGGGATGTCCTAGCTGAGTGCTGTGCCTCTGATAAGGAGGGGAGGGAACGCTGGCAGAGGAGGAGCATGGCATCTCTGAGAGGCAGTACCTAGTATATTTCATAGAAGGCCAGCCGGCAGAGAACGAGGGGCCGAGTGGCTGGACCAGGATGAGAAGACGACATGCGATGCAGTGTACAGGAGCCCCTTCATCTCAGGGGCCGTTCAGACAGGGTACAGAGCAGTCTTCCCTAGATGTCTCCAGGGTTGGGAGTCATTCCCCACTTCCCCACAGGAGAAAATGTGCAGGCATACCGAGTGAGTGAAATACCTGTCTTCCTTTTCTTTTCCTTTTTTGCCAGAGGGCAGGTGCGCTCCCCATAGAAGGAGAAAGCACCGGTCCTGGGGATGGGCATGCAACATTCTCATCTCCTGTTTCTTCCTCCTTGCAGGATTTTGGGCCTACACACACATGCACCCGGCATATTTTTCAAGCTGCCAGGTTCAGGACTTGAACCACACTAAGAAGGTCTTGGAGTCCATGGAGCCAATCCAAGATAGCCCTTTGAATTTAATAAGATGTAAATTGTTGGACCAGCAGGTGGTGTGGCTAAGGCACTAGACTCCCACATGGGCAACCAGGGTTTGAGTCCTGGGCATGGCAGCTTGCTTTCTTGCTTTTTCTCTCTCTGGTGAGTGTGCATGCCCTATGACAGAGTTTAAAAATAATAATAATTCTTTAAGAAAAAGTAAATTGTGTGCAGTTTTAATGTTTATAGCGTACTTTCCCTCACACTGGCCATGAATTCACTGGTGACAGGGTTTAGATGATTCGTTCTAATTGTCACAGTTCTGTTTTCTAGGACCTGGTTCTTGTTCTAACACTCAGATTTCTGTTTATTGTCTTAAATACACGTGTTCCCTCCTCAGAGAGGCTGTCTTTGGCCTCTATCTAAAGAACCTCCATTGACTCCCCAGCCCCCCAAAACCTTCGACACCCGCACCGTTTGGTCTCAGTGTCACATTTATCTCCATCTAACATAGCCCTCTTCATCTTGTCAGTGCCCACCTCCCCCATCTGAGCACAAGTCTTTAACTCCACTGCTATGAACTTGTGAAGTCCCTCATACTGTACGTGCCATTTTCTGGGGAGTAAATCCACCTCTCAACATCCGTGCCCTCCCAATTAGGAATGACCTCCTCTCTGCTAAGATCCAGCTTCAAGAAATGTAAGAGCATTCTAGAACAGTGAGATTGAAGCAGATGTTGCCTCCCTTAGCTATCGGGGTGCAACCTCTGCTGTGAGCAGCAGCACTCCATGGGCAGCACGCCGTCTTGCAGGGCACGATTGACTCAGAGCAGCCTCAGCCTGTGACCGCAGTGGGGGGCCACCATAGGGGCCAGGGCATGCCAGTGGCTCCCATTTGCCGGGGAAGATGGCAAGCAGGTAGCCAGATTCTCGTCACCACTTTCAGAAACTGTGAGTCTGTTTGAGCATGACTTCGATCCACTTTCAGAAACCACGTTTCGGGGCCAGCAGTTAGTGTAATGGCTATGTCACTGGACTCCCATGTAGTTGACCGCGGTTCAAGTCCCAGACCTGGTGGCTTAAAACTCACACTGGGCGTGTGTGCGTGCATGCTGAAGATCCTTGGGAGTAGAGAAGGAGGAGAATGGATTGTGGCGTGGCCATCCCCCTGGGGGGTGATTTCTCGCTTTCTGTCTCTCTGTCTCTCTCTGTCTGTCTGGAGAGCGCACACGCCTAATAGCAAAAACCTCTCCCCTCCAAAAAAAGAAACCACGTTTCGGCCTCAGTTACGTGTCAGGCAGGCCCTGTCTGTGCTGGGTGCTTTCCTGTGGGCTTCCCTGTGAAGTCCTCATGGTGACAAGTGCATCCGTCATACATATTAAAGTGCTCCGGGGCTCAGTATTTACATAGAGTGGCTTAGGCTCCGGTAGGCAGGGCTCTCTATCTGCTTAGGGAGTGGCTGATTCTCATCAGCGGTTCCTCCGAATCGAGTACAGGGATGTCTGTGTATCCACTTCGCTTTGGCTTTAGTGTAGCTCAGTATTTCCCGGTTTCCGTATTCATAAAAATGCTGGTCATGCCATGTGGAAAGGAGTTTTCAGGATGTGCTTTGGGTTTCTGCTGATGGGCCTGATGCCCGTAAGGTGTTAGAGGGATGAGAACCTGGTAGGGAGGGTGCATTTTAGGTGGCGGCCCTTCTGCTCTGACCGTGGGGCTCTGTGTCACATGAGACTGCCCTTCAGCCTCTGGAGAGGACACGTCCCCATACCTTATGTCATTGGTCACAAGAGGCCAGGCAAAGGTTGGAGTGTGTGATACTGGGAACACTTTATTGTCACTGGAAAAAAAGCCAAAATAGGCCTTCGGTACGAACCACTTTTACACACACACACACACGCACACACACACCTTTCTCCCTTTAAACTCAAGCACTTTTGCTTTTATAAGTGAGGGGAGCCCTCAGAAGAGTCTGGTATCTGTGTGTTTGTTTCTTTTTAATACATGGAATGCCTTTGAGAATCTGATAACAACCAAGGACCCTTACTGCTTCTTCCAAACATGCAAGAGCCTCCGTGCACACTTGGGCTTGCACTCACACATACGCACTTTTGCCTTCAATTTCCAAAATCTCATGGGCCTGTCAGTGGGCTGGAGCGAGACTGCTGGGGTTGAAGTGGACCCTCCCCCCCATGTAGCCCACTGTGTGGCCGTGAGCAGCTGACGTCAACCCCGAGCAGCAGTTTCTCCACCTGGAAGGTGGTCGTGCTGGCGATGTCACTTGGCAAGATTGTTGGAGGACTAGCAGGCACGGTGAAGCACTTAGAAAGTTCTTGGCACACAGTAAGCTAACACACACTGTTAGCTCTTATTTTTTATTTTATAGATATGCTATCTAGGCATTCTTAACTTTATTTGCAAATTTAAGCACACTAAATATTTTTAACATTAAACTTTCCGTTATCATGGCCAGCAGGTGGCATAGTAGTTAAGGCATTGGACTCCCACGTAGCCAGAGTCCCAGATCCGCAGCTTGAAATTCATGCTGGTGGGGCCAGCAGATTGTGTAGTGGTTACGTTGCTGGACTCCCACTTGACCAGTCGCTATTTGAATCTGATGGCTTGAAAATCACATTGGGTGCTTGTGGGTGCGTGCCAAGATCCATGGAGGAGAAGGGATTGTGGCATGGCCATCCTCCCTGGGGGCTCAGGGGAGATGATTTCTCACTTTTCCTTTCCCTCTGTCTCTCTTTTCTCCTCAGCGAGCACACGTACCCTAAGGCAATAATCTCTTTTAAAAAAAGGAAAGAAAGGAAAAACTCCTGCCAGGCTTACGCATGTGTGGCCCAAATTGCAGGGAGGTGGCGGGGGAGGGATCGTGGAGTGGCTGTCCTCCCCCGCATCCTTTTTCTCTGTCTCTCTGGCAAGTACACATGACCTGTGCCCTCCTCCCCCCCAAAAAAGAAAAATCAGTTATCATTTTTAGTGAATTATACCTTATTAAGACATGTAAATGGGTTCTACATGAAAATAAACAGCTTTTATTATTTATCTAATAGAGCCACTGAAATACTTGGTGACCCTTTTGCTGGTAGAACAAATGGGTTAAAACTGTGGAAATTGTCTGGTTTCTGATTACTGCAATACACGCACGTTCAGTTTGACTCTGGGTTGGAGGAAGGCCACGTCTGAGGCACTTACCAGTATATTTAACCATGTATCTCTTTATTTCCTGAATGTCCTTGAAGTCTACTCTAGGCCAGATGTCGAATAAGATTTCCCTGTCTTTTTAAAGTACTAATTGATTATATTTGAAATATTTTTGTAGCTTAGGAAATACTCTGTAGAATCTTGGGAACAGTTACAGATCTGTGAACAAATTTTAAGCTCATGGAGCATAAAAATAAATCAGGTGCTTATTCGCGATGTTTCTGTACTGCTGTGATTTTCAACTCTATCAGGACAAATGGCATATTGAGTTTTTGGAGTGATATAGAAAGCTAATCTATAACTCATCCATTAAGATTCTACAAAAAATTAAAACCTTTTTTTTCAGGCTGCAGAAGATGTCAATGTCACTTTCGAAGATCAACAAAAGATAAACAAATTTGCACGGAATACGAGTAGAATCACAGAGCTAAAAGAAGAAATAGAAGTAAAAAAGGTATTGAAACTATTTATCTAAGAAAAGTAGAGGTTTTTTGTACTACAGCATCTTAAAACTCAGTTCAGTTAGCGAGTGATCATCTCTCCCTGGGCTGTTTGTTGCAGGTAACACAATTCACTAATAAAAGTAGAAAATCATTTAAGGGATGCGAGAGAACTTAGAGTTGTGGCAGGAGGGCTCTGATCTAGGTTCAGGTCCCAGGAGCAAGTCCTGGCGCCTCTAGTTATCAGAGGGCATGGCTGACAGTGGACGTGCTGCTGTTGCCGCGGTCCCAGAGCCAGCTGCCCCTGAGACAGGAAGCTGCCTGCCACCCGTCCCTGGAAATCTGAGCCTGGTGCACCGCCTCATCAACTCTCCCGAGTTGAAGTCTCGTTCAGTGCATCTGATCGGGAATGTTTACGTTATCATTTGCTTACACCCTCTTAGCAAACAAGCCTGAGAGATACAGTTTTGTTTTTTGCTTTTGTTTTTGGAGAAGGCGGAATTTATCAAGTGGAAAATTGCCAAAAGTAGAAGAAATTTTCAGTGACCTGCTGCCAACTGTTGGGTGCTTACAGCAATCTGAAAACACCCAGAGGGCAATGTGTTAGCTCTGCATGCTTCCTTAGGAAATGTCATCTAAGACGTAAGATGCTATAACCTTGAGTGCAGTAATGCCTTCAAAAAGTGGTCCCTCAGAGCCGGCGTCTCCACATTAAGACTGGCTCTTGGCTTCGTTTAGAAATTGAGTACACGAGGGAACCAGCAGTTAGCACAACGGCTATGTCGCTGGACTCCCACGTAGTCGACCGCGGTTCGCGTCCCGGACCTGGTGGCTTAAAACTCACGCCGGGCGCGTGTGCGTGCGTGCCCAAGATCCCGAGAGGAGAATGGAGGAGAAGGGATTGCAGTGTGACCATCCCCCCTGGGGGGTGATTTCTCACTTTCTGTCTCTGTCTCTCTCTGTCTGGTGAGTGCACGCACCCTATAGCAAAAACCTCTCCAAAAAAGAAAAAGAAATTGAGTACACGATTGTTGTTGTCTACTTTTGCATTTATAGAAACAACTCCAAAATTTAGAAGATGCTTGTGACGACATCATGCTTGCAGACGACGACTGTGTAATGATACCTTATCAAATCGGTGACGTTTTCATCAGCCATTCTCAAGAAGAGACACAAGAGATGCTAGAAGAAGCAAAGGTATGTTGAAGTCGTTCCCCGAGGTGATGAAGCCTAACACCCGTTAGGATTTATATCTTTATAAAGAGCACATCATTGTGAATGTAGAGAAATAATGGCTGCCTACCTGATATCGAGTGGTCTGTTACAGCGTCACAGCAGCCCGGAATGTTCTGCCAGCATCGTTTTATTTAAGCCCACAGTAGCCTGTTGGTATCCCCGTTCAGAGGTGAGGGGTAGAGGACTGGAGAGTCTGGGGTTTATTTGCAGTGACACAGAGACCGTGGTCTTCTGACTCCAGGGCTTTGATGTGAGCTGGAGGTATGAATACAGCATAGCATGCAAACAGAAAAGAAAACCCCTGTAATCCTGTATCCGGAGTGGAACGTTTTCATGCATTTCTTTGATGTTCTCTACCTCTTTCCTCTAGTTTTGTTTCACATGCAGGCCAGTCCACATTTTAAGGGGTATTTTCTTTGATGTTCGCTTGTCTGGCAGATTCAGAGGGAACTGCTCTGGACAGTTCTCACCCTTTGAAGACATGAGTCTTCCTGACCGTTGACTGTCATGCTGATGGACTCTGAGTAGGTTCCTCATTGCTAGCATTATTTTTTCCCAGTATTTTGCTACAGTAACATTGCAGTGAGTATTCTAACACATAAATCGTTGTTGACATTTACGGACTTGTTTTAAGGAAATAATCAGAGAAGTGATTACTGGGTCAGTGTGGATTAGAGACATTTGCTACGTGGTCCGAAATTCCTTTCCAGTTCACACGCCCTCCCGCTGCATGAGACTGGCACACGTGTTTGTGTTGAGAAGCTGGTGGCAGCTAACATTTCCTCATTGGCTTAATTAACTTGAATAGTACTTAAAGTGAAAATCTCCCTTCTTCACATGTCATAAAAAGTAAAATTCCCTGTGAATTAGCCCACATTAGCAAGCCCTGGGAGAACTAAATGTTTTACTCCTGGGTCTTTCTAGTGTCAGTTTATTTTGGTGCAGAAAAGTTTGAAATTCATGCATAGTTTTTTCATAATATGTATTTTCTGCAAAACTTTTGAAGACTCTTAGGATTTCTGTCTTCCTTATATTTAAATATTTCTTAGTCATAATTCCTGGGATCTAGGGCAAAATAAAACATACTTGGTCTCCTGTATGGAACAGTCTAAATGAAAAGAAAGCCAAGCAAGTAAAGCTAATAACGAATAGAAAGCTCTATGGGGTTAGAGGGGTGGCTTGAAAGACACAGAGCAGGGGACCCGAACTAGTGTGGACACCAGGGGTCAATGAGGGGATCCCTGGGGATGCATTGAGACAACTACTGAAGAATCAGTGGGAAGGACCTGGAAAGGGAGAGGGGAGCTGTTTCAGATGGAAGAAACACGATGTGTGAATGGTGCAGACGATCCTGGTATAAAAATTGAACTGAAAGTTTTGTTTGCTGAAGATTCAGGAGTTTTGAAATGGGGGCCAGATCTTGGAGGACTCACAGTTGGGTAATTAAATTGCACCTCATCTTCATAAGGTCAGCGAACCGTGTGATGGGCCCTGTGGTCTCTGCCACTACACTGTGACAGCAAGATGTGGGAATGAACTTGCAGGGCCGACTTCACAGAGACCAGCTGCAGGCTAGACTTGGCCGGAGTTTGCCCAGCCCTGTCCTAGAGCAGAGAGGAGCCTTTCAGGGCTTCTAAGAACAGAGTGATTTGACCTATGATTTTAAAATAATGTTCTAGTGTCTTATTTTACTTATTCACTGGGTTTCCTAGGAATAGGGATTTTATCTCCTCCTGATAGCTATACATCTTGTTTCTTTTTCTTTGTAGTTCTCAAGCTTTTAGCATGCATCCGAATCAGAATCACCCACAGGGCTTGTTAAAAATTCAAATTATGGGGACCAGCAGATGGTGTAGTGGTTTCGTTGCTAGACTCCCATGTAGTCAACTGCAGTTTGAGCCCCAGATCTGGTGACTTGAAACTCATGCTGGGCATGTGTGCCCAGGATACCAGGAGGATAATGGAGGAGAAGGGATTGCAGCGTGGCCATCCTTTCTGGGGGGGTAATTTCTTGCTTTCTGTCTCTCTTTGTGTGGTGAGCGCACGTGCCCTTTAACAAAAATCTCTCTCTCAAAAAAAATTCAAATTATGAGGGCCAGCAGGTGTTGTACTGGTTAAAGTGCTGGACTCTCACATGGCTATCCACTGTTTGAGTCCTGGACCAGGCGGCTTAAAAATCATGCCAGGTGTATATGTGTGTGTGCCCTAAAATCCTAGGAGGAGAAGAGATTGCAGCGTGGCCATTCCCTCTGCGGGGTGATTTCTCACTTTCCCTCTTAATGTCTCTCTCCAGCAAGTGCATGTGCCCTAAGGAAAAAACCTTAAGAAAACAAAATTCAGATTATGGAGTTCAACCCCAGGAAGTTCCAATTCAAGAGGCCTGGGGTACAGCTCCTGAATTCGTATTTCTCGTAAGCGCCTGTGTGATTTTGCCCCGAAACTGATCGGGAAGTCACACCTGGGCATAACCGGTCAGATTTCTGTAGAGTAACGTTGCCAGTGTTGGGAGTGCTCTGTTCCTGGTGTGAGGGATGTGCCATTTGTCTGATTTCAGATGTTTTTGTCACGCCTAGGAAGAGTTCTTTCTTTGAACCTAGCCTGGAAGTAACTTCTACATCTCATGTGGGCAAAGCTGCTTTATCTTACAAAAGAGCCCCCCCCCCTTTCAGAGTACAGTTGGGAGGGGGGCATCATCAGTGGGAAGTTCTGGCAGATATAACCACATTGTTCTTAATTATTGTGGTGGTGTGAGTTTTCATCATTTCGTTTAGTTTTATAGGATTTTTGTGGGAAGATCGGAGAGCTGTGTTTGAAGCCAGGCAGGCCCAAAGTAAACTATTTATAGAAGTCTTTTTATGTGATTATTCATGATATAGTAATTTAGGAATTAGTTTCATTTTAGCGGTTACTTTTTAAAATTTTTATCAGTAGATCTACAGAAACTGAGAGAACAAGCTTCATTCTGTGATAAGCAAATATAGAGAATGATTTAAAAGTATCTCCTTTTGGACTTTTGGTGTAGATTTAGTTATCAGTGTTACTTAGCTGTCTGTCCAAGTTCAGAAAGCTCCTGACCTAAAATTCTTGCCTAATATTATTTCAGGACACAGATGCTCAGAAATCATCAACTGAATAGAGTTAATTTTAACTATTTTTTTTCCAGAAAAATTTGCAAGAAGAAATCGACGCCTTAGAATCCAGAGTGGAGACGGTTCAGCGGGTGTTAGCAGATTTGAAAGTTCAGTTGTATGCAAAATTTGGAAGCAACATAAACCTTGAAGCTGATGAAAGTTAAACATTTTATAAGACTTTTTTTAAGTTGTTTAATAAACTTGAATATTCTTTAAAATGATAATTTTCCTTCTTTAAATGACATGGAAAGGAAAACTTTCTTTTTAAAAAATTTTTCATTTATTTAATGGAAACTTGCCTATTTTCACATGTCTTACTTATTTATTTTATATTTTTAAACAAAGGCGGTATTCATCTATGTATTTTGCTTAACGATTATATCAAGTCTAGGAGCTTTATGTCGTGTTATTAAAAACAGTTAAGCAATCTTTTATGTTTCTATATTATCATTTAGAGTATTTGTTGTCATGTTCATGTACGAGAAAAGTTAACGGTTGTGCCACGCCTGCACGTCCGATTTCAATTTCTGTCCAGTGATGGCGCAAACACTGCAAAAGATGTCCAGTCCTGCGTCCGCCTGCTCACTTCCCAACTGGAACTTTGTCGTATGCTAAAGAATGTGCGTACATATTTAAACGTGGATACACATTGTGCTTTATCACACACGTCAGTGTCTCAGGTTTTGGTGGAGGACTCGGAGATGGTCAGACGTTTCGAGGCAGGTAAAACTTCACACAAACAGCAGAATAACTAGATGTGCAGAAAGAAATGTCTAGTGTGTTTTATTTTAATGATATGTTTAAGACTACTGCTCTGTACTTACTTGGGTTTTATATTGCTTATGATATGGAAGTTAAATAGCTTCATATTGAAAAGTAAGGTTTATTTCTTAAATCAAGAGAACATGTACCTTCTACTCCCTCCCAAAAAAGACATTGGGATTTGGAAGATCTCAGTATGTTAATTTTCCAGCAGATGGCACTGATATGCCAAAATATTAATGGAAAGATCATAACAAAAATGAGGATTTTTTTGGACTAAATAGGCATAATTTTAGAGGAAATATTTTTTAACCTTCAAGGCTAAACATTATATATGCAATTTTTTTGGTTAAATGTTTATATAAACATTAATTCAAGCTTAAAGATAGAGGAATACATAATTTCTAGAATTCTCAACATAAAGGCAATCCTTTAAATGGCAGCAGATCTTCCCCAATAGTGATACTCAGATTCTAGAAGATGAGCCCTAGAAGGTTTTTCCTTGGGTATGTTGGTTTTCGTTCACTTAGCGCCAGAACCTGGGGAGGTAGTTCCATCAGGTTGCAGCAAGAAACACGTAACTCCCCAAGTATAACCAGAGCAAACTTCGGCCATGATTACAGCAGTGGAGGCCATCCGTGGGCTGTTGTACCTCCCAGGCAGGGAGGGAGCAATTCCCCCTTCACTCTGGAACCCAGGGATGGGGAGGACATAGCCACTGTTTGTCGTCCCTACATTAACAAGTAGAGGACTAGACGCACTGGCTCCATTTTCTCCCTCCCACCCCCATCTGCCTGGGTGCCGCCCTGGGCCATGCCCACCTGGAATCCAGAGATCACCCATCACAGCTGCGCGCAGGTCTGGGGAAAGGTGTGAGTCTGGAGGGCCACGGAAGATCCAGCCAGGACGGCTGAAGTGTAACCCACTAGTAATTTTAATATAAAATTTAGATGACTTATATGGCAAGAAGCTGAATTACATTATGGGCTGAGATTTCAAATTTTGTCCTGCACCATTACCACGTGAACTTAATACAAAATACCTTCTATATCCAACGTCAGAGGGGGTGGGAGATGTTCAGGGTTGAGATTCGAGGACCTGAGAAATGCTTGATTCTCATTTTAAGTCAATTCCAAAGCGTCCCTGGCCATCAGGTTTGTTGAGAATAAGTCCACTGGGCTGGTGAGGACTGGTGACACCTAGCATGTGTCGAGTCCGAGATGGAAAGATTCCCCCCCCCCCGCCAGCAGCAGCTGAGAGTCTTGGTCTTGGATGCGGCACTGCTTGTTTGCTTTTAAGGCCAGAAGGCTGAATTTTTTTTTTTTTAAGAGGTTTTCGCTATAGGGCACGTTTGCTTTCCAGAGAGAGACATAGACAGAAAGCGAGAAATCACCCCCCAGGGGGGATGGTCATGCCACAATCCCTTCTCCATTCTCCTCTCGGGATCTTGGGCACCCACGCACACGTGCCCGGCGTGAGTTCTAAGCCACCGGGTCCTGGACATGAACCGCGGTCAACTACTTGGGAATCCAGCGACACAGCCATTACACTAACTGCTGGTTCCCAGAAGGCTGATTTTTTGTGCAACCACTGTTTTGAGATGGTGCCACTATCTTTTTTTTTAAGCAGTGGTGGTTAAACAAAAGACAGTTACATCAGTTTGACCCCTAAGCTGCCAGTTTGCAAACTGGCGCACAGGGTGCTACATCCAGGCCTCTGATAGGAAGTAGGCAGGAGATAATCGCCTCTGTGTCAGAGCCCTGAGTGTCTTTCATGAGAGGTAGAAGGCCTGCCCGACAGTCTCCATGCCACAATCCACTCCAACCTCAGCGGGTCCAGAAAACAGCCTGCCAGGTGCACCCAGCGCCCTCAAGGAGGTCCCCGAGTGTGAACCCAGGACCTTTCCCATGTGGGCCCGGCCGCGTTACCGCTGAGGCTCTCCTGGCCCCACACTCATTCTTAATACCTCTCAGATCTGCCTGCTTTTCATCTCCACAACCACCACCACACCGGGCCAAGACTTAAGCTGTAGTCGAAAGCGTGACTAAGGGAAGAGGGGAAGGAAATGAGGAAATGCCATTTGAGATAGAGGAGGGTTTTTTTTTTTTTTTTGGAGGTTTTTGCTATAGGGCGTGTGCGCTCGCCAGATAGACAGAGACAGAGAGATAGAAAGCGAGAAATCACCTCCCAGGGGGAATGGCCACGCGGAATCCCTTCTCCATTCTCCAGATAGAGGTTTGGACAGCTGCAGTCTAGGCAGAGCCTCTGAAGGCTCCACTGTTTACTGCGGGAGGCGGAGGGATACCAGATATGCTTTCCCCTGCGTGCAGTCCGTGGGCAGAAGAAATGAAGGCGGGCCGGGACTCGGAGAGGAGAAAGGAGGTGAAACGTGCAGAACTTGACAGTGATTGGGGAGATGAAGGTGAAGGCAGGGAGCCAGAGAACTTGGTTTTGAGCACAGCCCAAATAAAGCCTGCAATGGCTTTTCTTTGGCGCATAGTTTTGAAATGGCATTTGTTGCCACAGTAAAATTCAGCGGTCTCACATAAAAATTCCCAGTCTGGCAACAGTGCAACTGTATTTCCAAATGGCGACCTCAGCTGCTTAGCCCTTAGAGAAAACTGGCTGTCTTCAGTTCGCCCCAGTCCCCACCTGCCTGCTTTGCTCATTTCTGCCACCTGCCTGGTGCCTGTCACATTTGTCTCGCGACCTCTGGAAGCCTGCGAAGGCAGCGAATGTGGGTCTGCAGTTGTTTGGAGAGCAGGGCTGGGCGGGGAGCAGGGCTGGCCCCGGGGAGAGAGAAGAGCCTGAGTGTGGCCTTGAACACCAGTTACGGTGGAGAAACGGAATTGGCAGTTGGAAAGGTGCGTTGAAACTTGGGGTGTGAGGACTAGGAGGGCCCATTTGAGAACCCTTGTGCCCCCAGAGAAATGCTTAACATTTAAGGTACGACTTTCAAGTCGCCCAAGAATCCTGTGGCTGCAGGTTCCGGTTCACTGGGTGCGAGGTCGGGGCTGAGCGTCTGCATTTGTCTACCACGTGGGAACCCAGTGCGTTAATTTCCAGGCCAGCTGAGCGTCTGCATTTGAAACGAGCTTTCCGATTCCGCCGGGCGCTGTGCGCGCGGTGCGCGGACAGCTCAGGACTAGCTCGTTCCGAGAGACGGCGGAAAGCAGCAGTCCGAGACAGGAGTGGGCTGAAGGCAGAAGTGGTGAACCCACGGATGGTCCAGGACGGTGGACGCGGGCTGTGAAAACGGAGCTCTGCTTGCCGGGAGGAAGTCCTCGCTTTCTTCGAAATGGTCAACCCGCTCTCGCCCTGTGCGCGCACACCTGAGGTAGGGGAGCTCGGAGCACTGGTTCTCCAGGGGCTGTCGGCGTGGTTTGAAAAAGCCTTCCAGCCGGTGCACTTTGGTCACCAGGTGCTCAGTGGAACTGTTCTCTGGTTTGGGGGTTCTCAAAGTGAGAACAGCGACTGGCAGCCTGGTCAGCTGGGAACTTGTTAGCACTGCCAAGTCTTTTCACAGGACTGACCCCTGGAAACAAAAGACACCCCCCCCCCAATGATGCCGAGTGATAACAGATTCAAAAACTATTTCATAGGAACTCTGGGGAGCAGGGCCCACCAGAAGGTTCTCAGCAACACACTGGCCTGGCTCATAATTCAAACTTTTTGGAGGTGGCGGGACAGACGGACACCAGCTGATAACTGTCAGGGCAATTGGTAGTGACAGGGTAATGAGGTACAGAGCCTGGAGCGGGACCATCTAGCTCAGGGGTGCAGGGTAGCCAGAGGCATCCTGGTTGCTCATGAACAGGTTATGAAAGATTAAGCACTGGGGATGTGGATCTGGAGGCAGCAAGTAGAAAGTGTTTTTATAAGGACGTTAGCAATGGAGGGAAGGAGGTAGACTCCCACGTAGCACCACGGCAGTGTAGACGGAAGTTCTTAAAGATTAGGGGGGGCAGCAGATGGTACAGTGTTTACGTCACTGACCTCCCAGATGTCTGACTGCAGTTTGGGTCCCAGACTGGGTGGCTTGAAATATCACATCAGTTAGCACGTGCGTGCCCAAGATCCCGGGAGAACCAGGAGAAGGGATTGCAGTATGGCCATCCCCCCTGGGGGGTGACTTCTCGCTTTCCCTCTCACTGGCTCTCTCTCTCTCTCTCCTTGCATGTGCACACGCCCTATGACAAAAACCTAAAAAAAAAAAAAAAGATTACGGATTGTATGAGTACTTGGGGTAAATGGGAAGGATCCAGAAGGAAAGGTCAAGGAACAAGAGAGTTATTGGCACACAGCGAGGGAACCATGTGAAGGAAAATCGACGCGGTGCTTCTTTACACTAGCGAAAGCCACACCAGGAGCACATTGTGTAAAAACTCTTCCTTGAGGAGTAAATGAAAGAGAAAATTCAGAAAAGTGATGAACTCTCCTGGGGAGAAGGTCTAGTTGGGAAAGGAAAACCAGGAGGCTGCAATAATTCTGATGTTCTATTTCTTGAGCTAGGTTATGGGTCTGTAGGGACTTGCATTTAAAATATAGATAATATGGGTTATTTTATGTGCATGAACTTATTCGCAATAACGAGTTTTTATAGAATTGTGTTGTGACATAAATATAAACTGGGAAATACATGCATATTGTGAGGTTGGTCTATTTAA